TTTTTTTTTTCAAGGCAGGGTTTCTCTGTAGCTTTGGAGACTTCCTGGAACTAGCTCTGGAGACCAGGCTGGCCTCAACTTACAGAGATCCACCTGTCTCTGCCTCCCAAGTGCTGGGATTAAAGGTGTGCATCACCACCGCCCGGCTCTGTTTTATTATTTATATACTTATTTATGTATGTGCATGCATACACATGATGTGGTGTTGCTGCAGAGGTCAGAGGATAACAGAATAATAATACCTATAACACAGCAATACATCCTCTCTGCCCAACTAAGAGGTCTTTGAGGGCCTTCCTGACTGTTTTCCCTTATGTTCTTCCTGCTTTGTATGTGTGTATTTATGGCGGGGTCTTATGTTGCTCACACTGGCCTTGAGCATGCAATAAACCTCCGACCTCAGCGCAGATCTTAGGACAAACAGGCATGCACACAATGACTGACTTCCACCTTTCTTATTTCTAACAAACAGCCATGCCTGCAGTCCTCCACACTGGAAACTTAGAGTCCATCTTAAAAAAATATTTTGGTTGGAGAAATGATTCAGTGTTAAGAGCAGTGAATTCAATTCCCAACACCCACACGACTGATCACAATCATTCGTAACTCAAGTTCCAGGGGATCCAACGTCCTCTTCTGGCCTCTTCAGGTACCTCATGCATGTGTGCACAGACATACAATATATCATCTAAAAGTTTATTTTTTAATTCTAGATATGTGTGTGTGCATGTGAGTGCAAGTACCTGAGAACGCCAGAAGAGGGCACCAGACACCCTGGAGCCGAAGGTACAGGTCCTGGAAGATGAACTTCAGTCTCCTGCAAGCGATGCAATTACTCCTAACCACTGAGTCATTATTCTAGTCTCATCAAGCTATCTTAAATAGTCCAAGCCTCCTGAATCATTACTCTCTTCAGTGCACGTCTCTGTTGCCGTTTCCATCGTCGCCTCACAGAGCTTATTGTATGACTTCACAGGTTAAAGCAATGCATCCCGTACAGCTACCTTGTTAATTTTCCAGTTTAAAAAAAAAAAAAAGATTTATTCTTTGAAGTCTTTTTTTTTTTTTTTTTTTTTTGCCCAAATCCATCTAGTTCAAGCTCCTTACAAGCTGACACCTTTTCTCCTACTGCCTCTAGGGTAATCTGAGCTTTTCCTTGGTACCCCCTCACCTCTCCAGACCCATAACTACCCTGCTCCTTTGCCCATATCACTATAGCCTTTCGGTTTCAATGGAGCCTTCAGTTGGTAATCCTATCCCATTAAACTTTCCCTTTTCTAAATTCTAAAGTCAGTAGTGTACTGGCTCTTGAGAGGAAGAAAGGAGCAGGGAATCTCTGACCTACAGTGTTTACCAGTAACTCTCAGCAAAGCAGACTTTAAGCTGCCAATGTGACATTACCACTTTTGAAGTTGGGGGGCAGGGGGATGTGCCCAATACCAGCAGGCCCCAGCCCAGCAGCACTCACAGTCTGGTCTGTAATCTAGAGCTTAACACATGCTGTATGCCCTCTAGTGCATTACATGAGCTGGTTTATACACTGCAATAAACTAGCCCTAGGAAGAGAGCAGTGTGCGGGACACACAGCATATGCTCAAACAGAAACCTGCTGGCACCGCCTAGAGCAATACGATAAGCCAAAATAGGAGCAGTTACAATGGATGTGATCTCATTTAGGGTTGCTTAGCAAGAACAAATAGAAGAACAACGAAGGAGCAAACTGCAATGAAAATAAAATCAGAGTCATGTCCCAGCTTGGCACCTAGGTGGCCCTTAGCAAGTAAATTCCCTTCCTAAGCCTCGTTTCCTCCTCCAGCGAGGGTGGTGAAGCACACCAGAAATCCGAGTACTTAGGAGACTGGGGGTTCCAGGGAAGCTGGGCTGTAATGAAGTCCTGTCTGAAAAAGCAAAAAGTATAGACGTTCCCTCATCTATTTAAATTAGGGGACTAGATGACTTCTCAAATACCTCTCCAGTGCTCTGGGATATGGGATAAACAGAGGAGGAGAAGCCCATGGTCTTTTGCCCCGGTAACAGCAATGAAAATAAGGTCACTGTAAATGCTGACAGTCAAAGGAGCATAGGGCACTAAGGTACAACGAACATCCTGGTAAGTCCATTCATTCTTTTGACTCAGTCATCCTACTGAAAGATACAATGTCCTGGAACTGGAGCTGGATCAATAGATAAGAGAGCTTTCTTGCAATGCAAGCATGAGGACCCAAGTTCGCCTCCCTAGAGCCTATGTAAAAGGTCAGATGTGGCTACTTAGTGTAGTAACAACAGCACTGTGAGGCGCGGAGACTGGAGGATGACTGGGGTGGCTGCCTGCCTAGCTCCAGGTTCAGTGAGAGGACAAAGTAGGTAGATCAGGACACCTTACGACCTTCTCTGGCCCTCACACAGGCACACAATGTGCAACCAAACATCTGCATACAACACACACACACACTTAAAAAGATACAATGTTTTAAAAGTTGTATCTATTTTAATCAACTTTCAGAAGAAGAGATGTGAAAACTCAACTTATATTTGCTCAAGCCAAGATATTTCCTAGTGTTCTTCCAGCAAAGCAATGTTTGCTAACAGATGCTAACAAGCACCATTTAGCCTCCAATTCTTCGTTACTGCTCCTTAAAAGAAGCTGCACTGCTCTGGGAAACGGATGGAAGCCCCAGCCCCTTTCTCCTACTTGTGCACAATCATAACATCAGAATGTGATTTCAGATGTTCGCAAGACCTGTCATCTGTGGTGGTGTCCAAACATTGCAAGTCAGCACCCACACAATAAACAACTAAAGTCCACCAGGCGGCTTAAATCCCAGCACTTGGGAGGCAGGATCTCTGTGAGTTCGAGGCCAGCATGGTCTACAAGAGTTGGTTCCAGGACAAGTTCCAAAGATACAGAGAAACCCTGTCTCGAAAAACAAAACAAACAAAGACCCACAACAACAAAAACCCAACTAAAGTCCATAAACACTCTATGCTGTTTGCAAAGGGAGTCCACCCGAGATTGCCAATGGAAGTGGTTAAAGCACAGCTCTATTTTGTAAACTGAGTTGGGGTTATCTAGAACTCCATTCACCTAGAAGACTACCTTTTATGAGTAACATTCTGGATAAGACAATAATGCCTGGATTCAATTTCTGAGCTACACATACTTGGTCGATGTTCTCGAAAGTTCATTTGCTTAGGCAAGCATACTCACACTTCACAAACACACTAGCATTTCTTGAGTTCCAGCTCGAATTAAGGGACCCCAATTGCACTTGGGAGTATCTCTGTGAGTTCCAGGTCAGTCCTGTCCACACAGGGAGCTCCACACCATCCAGGGCTGCACAGGGACTATCTCAAGAAAACAAAAAGAAGCCCCAACTGGTCGTGTGACTGTTAGACATGTACAGAGCCCATAGGCAGCACTAACAGCAGCGAGGGCCACAGATAACACAAATCCACTGCCTCCCTTGGGCACTCACATTTCTGACCAAGTGCTGCTGGACAAGTTTATTTAGCTCTGTGACTGACGCTCATTTATAAGGACTGGAGGGAATGATAAGGCCTGAGGGGGCTGCCGTGGGGATCAGAGAATGTATGTGAAAGCACTGAGGAATAACACAGGCAAAGGAAATCACCGGAAGGCGCTCACTCCACAGCAGACAGTCACAGACCACGCAGAAGCAGTTGCTCACAACAGCCTTGCCATCCAAGGTTTCCCCATCAGAAGTAAAACAATTTGTTGCTAAATTGTGCAAGGAATTCTGTCTTGGTTAAGGGCCCAAGAGTGGCGTTCCAAAACGTCAGAAATCTGTGGAGACAGTTTAGATTCCCATGATGTGTGCTACAGTCTTGGGTCTAAAAAAAATACCTACTGCCAAACTTTCTTCAAGTAGTTAAGTGGTTTCTGAATAACTCACAGACTGTTGATTCTTCTGCTTGCTCTGCTGAAAACTTTATAATACTTAATAAAAATGTACACAAAAATTTTAGATGAATTAGAGCCTAATGGATACAAATCAAAACCAATAATAGAATGAGGGCTAGTGTTCTCTCTCTCTCTCTCTCTCTCTCTCTCTCTCTCTCTCTCTGTGTGTGTGTGTGTGTGTGTGTGTGTCTTTTAAGCAGAGTGGGTCTTAGTGTTTAGGGGTGTAAGCAAAGCTGTCCCATTGAAACACATCTCCCAGGCAGTTGAAACTAACCTTTTCCATTGGCTATTCCTCAAAAGTATACAGCTATTCTACATTTGCCATTCTTTGCATTGCCTCATTTACAATGTACTTTGCCTTGCTCCAATAGCAAAACATAGGGCTATTCTTTCTTTAAAAACTAAATATCTCTTCAGTGATTTGATGCCGTGGAGCAAAAGATCACTATATAAAGTGAAAGTTCATAAAGACGGGCATAAGAGTAAGTCACCCACTAAAAGCCCTCAAGAATCAGGCTGCAAGCCCTCCGATTTCTCAACTTGATAATTCCAAGGCTCTCTAGATTTTCCCTAAGGCGGGACACATTCTCTTTACCAGACTCCAAAACACCCCAATGCTCCAATGTTTTCTAAGAAAACAGGCTACAGAGCTTGCATTAACATAACACTTTCCCCGAAGAACGTGAAGCAGCTAATCGCACTATTGTTGAAAAGTAATGCACTCCCACCCACATCTAAGAAAACAGTTGCTGGTGTTCTGTGAGATCTTCAAGTCCCTCACCTAATGACAAGCAGTGGAGGAGGAAGGCTCAGCTAGGATAACGGATGGGAGAAATTTCGGGTGGAAAGCAGAAGTTACAGAGATAACTGAGCAGGTGCTCGCAGGAGGAAGGGGACCAGGTCTCGGAGGCATCAAGGCACTAACTTCAGATGGGATCTGGGTGGATGAGATCCAAGGTCCCGGCTAGCTCCCACTCCCCCCGGTCTGCTTAGCCGCTGCTGTCCTCCCACCGGTGAAAGAAGTAGGACACCCCCACCGGTGATGCCCCCTCCTGCCGCCCGCAGCCCCGCGTCTCACCAGCCGCCAGGCGCAGGCCGCGGAGGCTCCCCATGGCCGCCTGCTCCGCCGACGCACAGCACCCCTCGGCGGTGGCGGCGGCGCTGGCGCTCAATGTCACCGAGGGCCCGCGCGGGGAGGGCACTGGCGGGATGGGCGGGGCGAGCGTGACGCGGCGGGCGTGAGGGACGTGCGCGAAGGGTGGAGGACGCGGCCAGGTGCCCAGCTTGCCCGGGCCTGAAGACCGAGGAGAGAGGGTGACATGTGCCAACTGTGGAGTGCTGAGTAGAGTTTCAGGACGGTGCAAGCGAATCACACACGCGGGGGGACTCGAGGGCCCTGCGGTGTGCAGGCATCGGGAATGTCCCTGAGGGAAGCCTGCTTCCACTTAGCGATTTAAAAAAAAAAAGGACTTACTCATTCTCACCGCTTGCCAACCCTCACTGTCCCAAACGCCCCTGGTTTTCGACGCTTTCCCCGGAGTCCCTTTCCTTATTAACAAGCACCCTATGCTCTAGGGACAGAGTGGAAAGGCTCGGAGGAAGGAGACCCGCGCTCTCAGCTCTGGGCTCCCACTACTTGCTATCAGGCAGCACCGCGGACACCTCTGCTCCACGGTGATTGGCCAGCGGCGGGGTCCTCGCGGTCGTCCAATATGGCGGCGCCCAGTGGCGGTGTGAACTGTGAAGAGTTCGCCGAGTTCCAGGTGATGAGGTTTTCCTCACGTGGCAGGCTTGTCCAGCCTTTTGTCCCCAGATCCTGTTTCGTGCTTTGACCTGGGAGGGAGTATGGACAAGTTGTGGGAAAAGCAGGCGGTTCCGAGCTTTTCTTTTAGGGGAACTTTGGAGGTCATGGGGGCTAGGGGTGGCCTTGGAAAGTGTAGCTGCTCGGTGCAGGGAGGTGGCTGAGGTCCTCTGCCTCATTCCGGAGTGCTAAAGCCGAGCTCGGAAGCTGTGGGTAGGGATTGCAACAGTTCAGCGGTTCCCCGAACTTAGTTCCCAGCTTCTGCAGTTCCTCTCCCACTTCTGAGTTGAGCTTTTGTGGGAAAGAAAGAAGTGTAAGGCCTTGTATGCTTGATAAAATATTTGTGATAGTGTCCTGTTTTGGTGAGGCAGGCTATTTGAAAGCTTTGAGGGAGGGTTAATTCTCATATTTGGTCTGTGCTAATGCCTTCTTGATCCTGACACTTAAGGGAAAAAAATGTCTTTTTGTACAAAACATAACAAAGGTTCAGAACTTAATAGTTACCCAAGAATTCAAGAATAATGATCTGGATGTTGATCAGTTTTCACGGAAGTTACTGGTGACGTGTTCTGATACTAGAGTTGAATTTCAAATTACACGATTTTTAAGCTAAAGATAGTGAAGATTTGTTTCACATATCATTGTTGACCTAACTGTAATAATCTTAATACTCTGAGTAGTTTGTAGGTAGTGATATTCTTAAAGATAACCTCATCAAATTGATCTCTTTGGCAAAAGATTTTTGGTTTTTCAAGACAGGGTTTCTGTGTAGCTTTGGAGCCTGTCCTGGAAACTAGCTCTTGTAGACCAGGCTGGCCTTGAATTCACAGAGAATTCTGCCTCTGCCTCCTGAGTGCTGGGACCACCACCCAGCTTTGGCAAAAAATTTAATAAATATCGAACTTAAAAGGCAAAACCCCTGTTTTCCCAGAACTGGCCTTGGCATATCTTATAACCTTCTTGTAAATAGGTATTACTTTTTGTTCCCCCCTTTTCACAGATAGGACCAGAACATACATGAAGATGCTATAATAATGTAAAACCTTAATATAGCTTAATTTTAGATGCATTTGATAAAATTATAAGACATGGTTGACTGGAATTCTCACAAATTATTGATCAAAGTTTGCATTCTTAAGAGCTGTTAGATCATTTTATATGTAAGTATCTAACTATGAAAAGCCCGGCGCTCAATACCAGTGGAAAGAAACTGAAGGTCATATGTCTTTTTTTTTATTGTAAATATTAGGTAGTATTTTACCCCATAATTACGGAAGAATCTGTACTGTAAATGCCCTTGTATTCTTCATCTAAATTCTTATGTATCTGCTCTAACTGTATGTATATATTTATCCACCACTCAATCCATTAGTCCACCTTTTAATTTGAGGAGTTTCAAAGCCAGTTGCAAAAGCCGAGTGCTTTTAAATATGCTGCCTGCGTATCAACTGGATTCAGCGTTTGTTCGCTATTATTTGCGTACTTGGCATAGTTTGACATTGACATATACTTGTAAGGCAAATGTCTGTCAACATCAAAATGGATGCTTTAACCTTCAAAAGTGTTCTGATGGGCTTCCCTAGACAATCCCTTCCCTTCCTGTCCAGTCCCAACTATTAGTACTACTCTGCTTTTGTTTGCACACAACTCTGAGTTTAGGCTTAAACGATTTGTAGAGAGTTTTAACTTTTTTTTAAAGCCCCCCCCCCCCCGCCCCGGAGCACTCCCAGAAAATACCTTATTTCCAAAGTGAGATGGAATCCAAAAAATAAAATTTAAAATTGAATGCTTCGACTCTTACTTTAACATACATTTGAAAATTCCTTGAGTACTTTTTAGTGTGCTCAAGCTGCCATAACTAAATACTACTGACTGAGTGGCTTAAAAAACAGAAATGTGGTTGCCTGAACTTTTGGAAGACTGGGGTTGGGGTTAATTTCTGGTGAGGTCTCTTCCTGCCTTGCAGGTGGCTGTTTTCTCACCATGTACTCACACCTTTAGTCTGTGTCTGAGCAGTTGGACAGGGTCCCTAATGTCGCTCTTCCTCTTCTAATAAGTACCTCAGATTAGGGTTCCTGCCCTGTTGACCTCCATTTCTGTAACTGTGTATATATGTATGTATTTGACAAGGTCTCACAATGTTGTGGAGCCTGGCCCAAATAATTCTGGCTCAAGAAGTCCTGCCTCAGCCTCTCAGTGAAATTGAAACCAGTATATGCCTGGTTGTGACCTCCACTTTCATTCCTAAAATCCCTATCTACAAGTACTTAGGGCTTTAGCATGCACGCCAGGCTACACAATTTAGCCACTATCAGGTTATCTACTAGCTACCAAACTTTAGGAGGTATCATGGTGGACAGGGTATGAAAAAGGAGCTTTAAGTCTGTATTAAAACATGTAGAAGACAGTGAGCTATGAATAAAATGCATAAGAGCTCAAAAAGAAATATACCAAGAGGTCACAGTTGAGTTGGGTCTTAGGTAACACCGGTTGAATTCTAGGCAGAAGTTATAGCATACATTTCCTGTTCAGTCATGCATTGCTTAACAATGGGTATATATCCTGAGAAATGTGTTACAGGTGGTTTTATGTTACGCATATGTGAGCATAATTAAGCCTTATCTAGGTTTCAGTTAATCCTTGTCATGGCTTCTTGATACATAGGGATGCAGTAGACAGGAGATCTGAGAAGATGCTATCAGTAGAAGAATAGTCTAATGAAGGAGAGTATAACTCAATAAATACACAGATCAGTAACAGCCACTTATTCCCATTGTCAAATGTTGCCCTCTGCACATGACGACATTTGATACACTTTTGTATTGGGCGTGGTGGCTCACAACTTTAATCCTAGCAGTTGGGAGGCAGAGGCTGTGAGATTAGTCATTTTTGCGGCTTTGGGATGCCTCCTTTCGTGAGTCACCTTTGTGTCCTCGTCTGAATTTAGGATCTAGGCCATGTGTAAATGTCAGGTCATGTAACGAAGTTCTAAGATCTAAACATAGTGTGTCAATCCTTTCTAGAGCCTGATCCTCTTGTGTGCCTCTAGGCAAAGTCTTTGACTTGTACTTTTATCCCCAAATGCTTCTCTCTCCCAACCCCCTTTCCACGTTTGTCGTGTATTTGAACCCTCTGCCTCGTGACTTAGGCCTGACTTGTTCCTGAGCACATGTTCTTGTCATTTCCATGCTTCAGCCCCACACCTGTCACTCGGAAGTACCTTCCTTTCTCTCCAGGTGAGACCCAGGTCATACATCTCTTGGGAAAAATCAACTCAATATTCCTTTTCAAAGTGCTTTATTTCCATTAGGAATGTATATTCGGGTGTACATAGATTATTTGGGTTGACTTTAAACCACCCAGCCTTTGTCCTAGATCTCCTGGAGTTGACATAAGGGCTCTGGTGCTTCTTCCACTGTAAGGAGGTGGGCCCAGTGAGACACAGTCTTTTCTTATTCTTTCTCCTTTTTTGCAATCTATAAAATTTAATAATAACTTATAATTCTCAACACTCCTGGAATAAGTGTGTCATCAGTTCAGATATTATCATTGTATTTTTATTCTTTTTCTGTAAAAATTATTACTGTGTGAATATGTGCGTGTGGGAAAGCACAGGGCATGCATGTGTGGAAGTCAGGACAGTCTGGAGTTGGTCCTTCCACCTATGTGGATTCCAGGCGTGAACTCGGTTGTCAGGATTGTGTACCGTGCACCCTCACCTGGTTGATTCTGTGCACTTAAACTCCCTGCAGTGATAAAATAGTCTGTCTTTGTGCTGTTTACATGGAGTGTTGCTGCTAACATGTGGGTCTCCAGCTTGTTAGTATGCTGCTGTAGTTGGAGGTTTAAGATTTATTTTCATTTTGTCTGAATGGGCATTTTACTAGCAGGTAGAGGACATTGGGTCCCTTAGGACTGGAATTAAAGATTGGAGACAATTGTTAGCTCCCATGTGGATGCGGGGGATTGATCCCAGGTCCTTTGGAAGAGTAGTCAGTGCTCTTAACTACCGAGCCACTCCTCCAGCCACCATAACTGAAGGTTTTAAATTATAAATTTCAGTTTAAATAACCTCACATGCTAGTATCCGCTGTATCAAAAGCCCAGCTCCAAATCATAGGTTGGGAATCCACCAGTACATAAGAAAGGGGGGAAATAGTCTACTTGGCAGCCCTCATTTGTAGATTCTGTTGATAAGATTGCAAAAGTAGTGGGTGGGTTCAGAACCAACAAGATGGTTCAGCAGGTAAAAGTGCTTGCCACACAAGCCTTATTACAACTGGAGTTGATTCTGAGAACTTGTGTAAACATGGAAGAACCAAATCCACAGAGCTGTCAACCCATGCTCACCATGGAACGTGTACACCCCACTCACTGATACACTCTTTTAAAGAGGTAGATTCCTTACCTAATTAACGTGGACAAAGTTACCCAATTAATGCAGACAAAAAGACGTTAATAGTTTGTCCACATTGTTTTATTGGGAGGATTTGTTTATCATGATTAAGTTATAACCGGTACCTAAATGCAGAAATGGTTAAAGTTCAGCATCAATAAAAGCTCAACAAATTTTAAGCCGTATAATCTTTTCCCTGGATTGCTGTGTCAGCCTTCCAATTGGTCTCCTTACATCTCTCCTGGTGTCCAGTCCACTTTCTAGGCAGTCGTTTCAGAACACAAATCTGATCATATAACCCACCATTCTTAGAGCAGTTCACTCATTTTCTTTCCTTCTCAGAAAATATTAAGATCCTGCAACATCCCCTACAGTAGGGAGTCTTGTCTTACACTGTATTTTCTCGTGCATTCAGCGGTCTATTTTAAGTGGCTGGCATGGGGGCATCCTTGCAGTTCTTGAGCTCTTAATGATACTAAACCTGCTATAAATTTTCATTCCAGCTTACCACCCCCATATTGTACCAGGCAGGCGTGGTTATTAAAAATACCACCAGTACGGGTTACCTAAAGGCATATTTGGTAATTTGTTAACAGTCCAAAAATAGTACACTGTACAGTTTAAAAACAAATCTTTTAGAAATATTTATATGTGTTTTACCTGCATGTATGTCTGTGCTGCACTACCTACATGCCTAGTACCCTCGGAGCCTAGACGAGGGAGTGAGATCCCCTGGAATTGGAGTTGTGAATGATTGTGAGCTACCTGTATAGCTAGGGTGCTAGGAAGAACCTGGGTCCTCTGGACAAGCATCCAGGTCTCTTAACCACTGAGCCATCCCTCGCTTTTCCGTTCTTCCGCCATCTTCTCTGTGGTATCTGAGCCTTGGAGGGAGTGGTACCGATTCTAGGACCAAGCAGCCAGTTGTCACCTGTTGTCAGGACTTTGACCAATTAGGAGTCAGTGCATTAACTCCCACCCACTGCCAAAAAGAAGTTTCTCTGACAAAGACAAAACAGCACTAGTCCATGCACATAAGCATAAGTATTTAGAAGGCATCTTAGCAGCTTGTCCGTTTGGCAAAAACAACAGCAGCAGGTTCCACTTAGGGCCTGTGACCTCTTCAGCCATGGTTTCCTAACCAAGTTTACAGTACCAGGTGTGAGTTATGTGGAGCAGTCAACTCCAGTCAGAAAGCAGTTGGTTATCTCCATATGTCTTGCCTGGCGGGTTGTTGTTATTGTAATTTATGAGGCCCACAGCCAGGTAAGATTGTCAATGACTTTTCCATAGGAGCCTACATGGCACTTTTTGGCACTATGAAAGCTATCCAGCAGGAAGGATGCTTCTTGCTTAGTTCCTTCTTAGTGTCTTTATGTCCTATGACCAAAGTGTATGGTGTCCTCAGCAATTGGATCTTACCGTGTAGTCTGGTGGACAACTAAGAGTAATGATAATAACCTGTGTTCTTTGGGGGGCCACTAGGGCCTTACTGCTTGTAGGAGGTATCCTACAGTTGGCATTGGAATTTTTATATAATAATGTGACTTTTGGGAGGACCGTTATCCACCCATGCAGGGAACCCCCTTTAAATTTTTTAAAAAACAAATTATATTTTTAAATAACTTAGAAAGTAGCTCTGAATAGGAATTTTTCCCAAGTCTTAATTTGGTTTAACACTTCCCTCTAGCCTGTCTTCTCTGCCTGCCTCCATCCTGCTCCAGCCTAAACCCCAGTCTTCTCCTGTTCTACTCTCATGTCCGTGTGTCCTGCTGTCCCACCTCCTTTCCTTCTCTCTGATGTCCCCTTTCTAGCTCTCTGACCTCTACAGGTACCCCAGGTTAAGATTTGAAGCTAGGTTCTCGAGAACGTCTGGTCTTTGTCAGAGGCGTTTCTTCATCTCCCAGCCAAGACAGCTCGGAGCCCCAACTTGATCCTATTTCATTCCATAAGATTTCTCTTTCCCACGGTGCTTCTCTCTCTCTCTCTCTCTCTCTCTCTCTCTCTCTCTCTCTCTCTCTCTCTCTCTCTCTCTCTCAGCAACTGCTCGAGCGCAGTGTGAGTTAGTGAAAAGATGAACTCTGGGACTGTAACCGCTGTACCTTTCAAAGAAGAAAGTTGCTGAGAACTCTCCTGGCTAAGGAAAGATATCTAAAAAGTACAACTGAAACTTGGCCTCAGAAGATAAGTTTTTCCTTACTGCGAGGGAGGAAAAGAAGAATTTGAAGGCGATTTCTAAAGGGGGTCTGGAAAAAGCAGTCATGTTGAAGGAGGTTAGGTTGGCTTTGTCTGATCTATCCCTCCCCCGCCCAGAGAAGATCTTGCTACGTAATCCTTGCTAGTCTCCAACTCATGAGTCTCCTGTCTCAGCCTCCTGAGTGCTAAGTTCACAGGCTGTGCCACCACACCCAGCTGCTTTCTTCCCCTGACTCCCCAAGTGACTCATCATTTGTTTGAAATTTACAATTCATGGGCATTATATGGCATACTATTTAAAATGGTAGTTGCCCAGGACTACGTTGAGATTGTCCCCTAAGAATCGTGGTTTGCAAAGAATACTATCAGCAGAAGTAGATACAGGGGAAGGAGACAAGGCAATGAACTTTATGTTATTTGCCTGTGGTGTTTTGTTGTTATTTTATTTATTTGGGGAAGGGACTGCTTATGCAATGGTGTTGAAGTGAGTGGAGGTCAGAGGACAACCTGTGGGAATTGGTTTCCTCCTTCCAGCATGTGGGTCTGGGGATTGAACTTAGGTCATCAGGCTTGGCAGCAGGTGCCTTTATCTGATGGGCTTTCTCATGAGTCCTTGCCTGTGATTTATTAATCCATATTATGGATGTTGTGAACGCTGTTTTTTTCTGTCTTGAGTTCATGAGCCAGCTATTAAAATATTCCACGGTTTAAGGTGAACAAAGTGGTAGGGCATAATTTAGACTACGTGTTCTGATTAAATGGACAAAACGATTAGAATCTTGCCTCTTTCACAGACAAGTATTACAGAAGGTTAAGTCTGTCTTCAAGGAAACTGGGAGTAGCTTAGTGATGGAGCACTTGCCTGGCATGCATGAGGATTTGAGTTTGATTCCCAGGACTGGGGTGGTGTGGATTCTTCAAGGCATTTTTAGTAACAAGGCAAAATGTTCACAATATGTCATTTTTAAAAGTTGCATAGTGAAGGCTGGAAAGATGGCTCAGTGATTAAGAATACTGGCTGCTCTTCCAGAGGACCTGGGTTCAATTCCGGCATCCACATAGCAGTTCGCAGCTCTCTGTAACTCAAGTTCCAGGGGATCCAATACTCTCACACAGACATGCATGCAGGCAAAAGACCAATGCATATAAAATAAAAATAAATCATTTAAAAAATGTTACATAGTATCTCAATTTCATAAAATATTCATGAGTGTATAAATAGTAAACCTGTTAATGTATTGCTAATTTAATTGGGTAATTAATTTTTTTTTCAAATTTATCTAAAAGGAAGGTATATGTGAGGGGATGCAATAAAGAATCACTGAAATGGACGTGCTGGTAAGGTTAAGAAGGTTTTTGGTTTGTTTGTTTTTTAAGATTTATTATGTATACAGTGTTGCCTGCAGAAGAGGACACCAGATTTCATTACTAAGAGTTGTGGGCCACCATGTGGTTGCTGGAAATTGAACTCAGCCAGTGCTCTTAACCTCTGAATCATCTCTCCAACCCAAGAAGAAGGTTCTTATTGTGAATAAAAGAGAGAAAAAGAAAGAAAAAGAGTTAAGACTGCTTATGGCTAGGGAAATGGGGGAGGACAGAGAGTGACAGAGACCGAAGGAGAAAGCATAAACAAGAGCTAGGGAATAGGGCGGGGTTGGGGTGTAGAGGGGGTGGGGAGATGGGGGTTAAGGTGTGGGGTGCTGAGTAGCTGGGAGGAAGGAGGGGCCAGGAGGCTAGTGTGGACTTGGAAATGTGTGACAAGCACCCTTAGTGGGGGACTGAGGGAGCCTGGAGGCTGATGGGCTGGCTCTGCTATGTCACCATGTCCTTTCTGCCAGAGACTAGGGAAATGACTCCTTTGGCAGATGGGACCCAGTTTCACAAGTTCCTAAGGAATGCTGGCTTTTTAACCATAACCGCTGTAAATCCTTCTGTAGTCCATCTTGAGCTCATCTCTAGATATATGGACATCCTGAAACTTGACAGATGGTAACACTAATGATAAGGAACGTTTTTAATACATAGGAGGAGAAAAAAAATGAAAGTGTTGGCTTCAGTCGTGGGTTTAATTTGAGAAAGGAAAGAAAGGGTTTATGTTGAGGGAGATGGTCTGGTGAAGTTTCCTCTAATACATGTCAATGTTAAATGCTAATTTCGAAGTTCCCACAAATAGTGTTTTGTAATTTAATATAATTGCTTTCTCAGCAGGTTTTTAGTGGGAGTGGTGTTTTTTATGGGGATGTATATAAAAAAGAGAAGTGTAGCCAGGCAGTGGTGGAGCACGCCTTTAATCCCAGCACTCAGGAAGCAGAGGCAGGTGAATCTGAGTTTGAGGCCAGCCTGGGCTACAGAGCAAGTTCTAACTCAGTCAGGGCTACACAGAGAAAACCCTGTCCCAGGAAAAAGCGAGAAAGAGAAGTGTCTACTGTTAAAACTCAGTCCCGTGTTTCTGTTAACTGAGGACAGCGCAGTTCTCTGGTGAGGACTGTGAGCACTGCCTGCAGTGTGGGTCAGGTCTTGCTGTGCAGGGTACCCAGAGCTCTTTTTCTTTTCTCTTTTGGGAGCAGTAGGTTCCTGGGGATAGAACTTAGGGCCGTGCAGGAGGTAGGCAAGTGCTCTGCTACTGGACAACATCCCCAGCCACTCGGAGATCATAACTTTTGGTCTTGTCCTTTGGATTGGGTTTGTGTGAGTTGGAGACCATTTGAAGGGAAGTAGAGTCTTGAGAAATGTTACCCAGGGTTTCTAAAGAACAGCTAAAACTAATTCCTACTTGTTCAATGAATTAAAGAAGCCAAAGTATGTTTTTTTCTCTAGTAGCAAAGTTGTTCCATTTTTATCACAAAAAATATTTACAGTCATAGAAAGTCAAAGAGCTGGAAGGTAAAGCTGGCGTGTGCTGCTTTGTGTCTGAGCTGACTGGTTCTGTCCATGCGAAACTGGGGCGGTGGCATCGCTGGTTGTGGGGAGTGTGTGGTGTCCAGGTTGGGGACCCTCTTTGGCTGTGTTGGAGCTGGAAGACACACAGTTTGCTGGGTATCATTCCAGACAGTGGGATTTCACAGTTGAGCCACAGAGCTAGGCTCAAAGTCCTCTGTGAGAATCACTATTACATATCCTACCCATTATCCTTGTGGTGAAGATATTTTGGTTATACTCTGTTTAGCTTGTTTTCCTCTTACAAAAAATAGTTGTAAAATATCTAAGATTTCTTTTTCTTTTTGCTTAAGATTTAATTTTAAACACTTAACACTTCATTGAAATTATATTCTTTTTATTTTATATATATAGGAATTACTCAAGGTAATGAGGACAATTGATGACAGAATAGTACATGAATTAAACACTACGGTGCCAACAGCTTCCTTTGCAGGGAAGATTGATGCCAGCCAAACCTGTAAACAGCTTTATGAGTCTGTAAGTTTATCTCCTGAGTCTCTCCGTTGTGTTTCTTCCATATCTTTCTTTGCAGACAAAATGAGAAACAAATTGACTTGTACATATGCTGTGAAAAGCACATGCCGTCATTATATTTCTTTGTGTACACTTGAAAGAGGAAGTATACTAGTTTTAATGTGGTTTTTCCAGCTCCAGACAGTGTGGTGTATGCACAAATCTGTGAAGAAATGGTTATAAAGAATGGGAGCAGAATTGTTTGGCCTATGCATGCATGGCCTTTTGCTTAAAAAGACAGTATGCTTTTGTGGACAAAGTTATTTATTTAATTAAATTTAGAACACTACCTACTAGCATTTAGGTTCTGGTTTTTTTATGTGTGTTTTTTATTAAAGTATGCCATTCTATTGAGCAATCAAGTAAATACTGTAGTTTTAGGAAATTGGATGGTGTGGTGTTTAGTCATTGCAAGTAGGGGTAGGTCCAAGTCGTAGCATCCCTTGGATGTTTGATGGTCCACTTATGTCTTGGTATATCTGAATATGATCAGTTTTTGATGCTCCCCTCCTTGAACCACAATTGTTACACCTGGCTACCCAAGACAAATGGAGAAAGGCTGTTCTTGAATGTGTTACTCTAAGAAGGGATTATTGGAATCATTCTGTCAGCTGTCCTTGCAATCCACACACAAAACTGATGCAACCACTAATCTGTGCCTCGGGTTTTCTTTATCAATACTTACTTGAGATTTTTGGGACGACCTCTGATGGCAAAGTTAAGTAACATTCTTTCTATTATTCTCCACATCACTTACTGCTTAATGTCTTCCCCTTGTTAGCAACACGAGACTGAAAACAGCCAGAAAAGACAAAAGAAGGAAGACTAGCAGAAGAGGCGGGGAGGGTGGGTGTAGGGTATAGGCGCTCATGCTTGGAGTGGTGAGGGAGCAAGGACGGCGGCAGGATGGGAGGGAGGAGCAGGAGTGCTGGCCTGGACCGGCCTTGTCTTCAAGAGATTCAATTAAACAAAAAAAGAAACCTTAAGCTATTAGTTTTCTGAAGGCTCAGGTTGGCTTTCCTGACACTACAATGTAACAATGTGATTTCTTTCCCTCTTTTATTCCTCTGTTCTTCTAGTTGATGGCAGCTCATGTCAGTAGGGACAAAGTTATAAAGAACTGTATAGCCCAAACCTCAGAAGTAGTAAAAAGTCTCCGAGAAGAAAGAGAGAAGAACCTGGATGACTTAACGTTATTAAAGCAGCTTAGAAAAGAACAGACAAAGGTAAGTTGGGCAGACTTTACATGTCTAGGGCAGAGGTTTCCCGAATACAGTCTTCAAAATAGAGTTTTAATGAAAAATTTTAAGGAAGTTATGGTTATTACTTTAGAAAATGATGAGGTCTGGGTTGGGAGGATGGATCAGTAGATAAATTGTTTGCTTTGCAAATATGAGAACTGTAGTTTGGATCTTGAGAACCCTTGTAAAAAAATTGGGTGGTGTGGGCCTGGAAAGATGGTGTAGTGGTTAAGAACACTGACTGCTCTTCCAGAGGACTTAAGATTTGGTTGCTAGCACCCACACAGGCTTAAACTGTAATTCCAGTCCTAGAAGATCTGATCTCCCTTGATGGTGTCTGCAGGCACCAGGCATGTACACGGTATACAAACATGTAAGCCCAATACCCATATACATCAAATAAATTAAACCACCAACAACAGCAAAAAAAAACTGAGTGGCGTGTTAGTCCCCTCTAATCACAGCCCTCCAGAGGCAGACAGGAGATCTTTGGACAAGCTGGCTAGCTAGACTAGCCAGAATTCACTAGAACCAGTTTCAGTCAGAGACCCTACCTCACTGTTGTCTAGAAAAGACACACAACAAACTTGAGGCCTCCACTTGCAAGTGTACACTTGTGCTCACACACACCTGTACCACACACACAAACACAAATAAATAAACAATTTTAAAAGTCAAGTACTCACTCAGGGATATATGAAAGGAAGCTTTTTTCCTCATATAATACATTTTATGAGGCAGAAATGTTGCTCTGTAGCCCTTGTTTGTGGCTTACTAAGAAAAAAGTTGTGCTTTGGGGTTCTGGGGGTCAGTTCCAGGACTCATCCTCTGCCTGCCAGGGAGATCAAAGGTCACAGATTCTCAAGTCCCATATGTAAAGTAGTATAGTATTTGCATTTAACTTTTTTTGCAGGTATGTTTGTGTAAGGATATCAGACCTTGGAATTACAGATAGTTGTGGACTGCCATGTGGGTGCAAGGAATTAAACTCAGCTCACCCAAGTCCTCTGGAACAGCAGCCAGTGTTCTTAACCCCTGAGCCATCTTTCCAGCCCTTGCTGTTTCTTAATAATAGAAATTTTTCTTACATGACCACCATATAATTATCAGTATAGTTGACTACTTAAGATAGATAGCACACCGGGTGGTGGTGGCGTCAGCACTCAGGAGGCAGAGGCAGGTGGATCTCTGTGAGTTCGAGGCCAGCCTGGTCTACAAGAGCTAGTTCCAGGCCAGGCTCCAAAGCTACTGAAAAACCCTGTCTTGAAAAACCAAAAAAAAAAAAAAAAAAAAAAATAGCACAGTGGGCAGAGTGGAACATGCTCTATCTACCTATTTATCTATCATCTAATCTATCTGCCTATTTACCTATCTATCAATCATCTAATCTATCTGTCTGTCTATCTCTCTATCATCTATCTAAAGTAATTGTGGAATTTGGTTGGTATTTGTTTAGCAGATGTAGCCAGATGCATGGGGCACACAGCGAGTAGGCCAGGCTGCTGTGCTTTCTCAGTGTTTGCCTGGAGGCAGCCCCAACTCTGTGTCTCTCTTCATCCTTGAGTACTGCTTAGGTCTCTGTTTCATGCTTGCTTATTCATCAGGCAGTGATTGGAGTCTCCAGATGGTATATTTGTTAGAATAGTTCTTGTCCCACCCCTTCTATTCAGGATTATTTGTATGTTATTTTATAAAATTGGTCAGGGAATAAATAGCTTTAAGCTTGCTTGCTTTTGCTTTTTTTGTTTGTTTGGTTGGTTGGTTTTTGTTGTTGTTGTTTGTTTTTCAAGACAAGGTTTCTCTTTGTAGCTTTGGGCCTGTCCTGGAACTCTCTGTAGACCAGGCTATGTCTGGTCTAGAGACTCACAGAGATCCATCTCCCTCTGCCTCCCAAGTACTGGGGTTAAAGGTGTGCGCCACCACAGCCTGGCGCTCTGTTTCTTGAGAGTGTGGCTGCAAACCTGTCCTCCACTCTCAGGAAAGGTCATCCTTTCCAACTAACCCGTCATCTTAACTAGTGAAGGAGGAAGGGGGCACAGGCTGAGCCGTCCACATAGCCAGGTGGACCCTGCTTGAGCAGCAGTGGTGTGAACATACAGCTGCCGTACTACCCTCACCTCCTGGATTTTGTTGAAGATGTTGACTGGGGATGTGGGACAGGACTGCTAAGACATATGCTAAAAAGTCAGAGTCGCGCTCCCCTTGCTAGTGAAGTACAAGGTTCAGCGAAGCCCTGGTGTTCAGGAGCGACTGTGTCTATTTGCTCAGCTCCCAATCTGCCCCTTTGCCCTGAGTGCCCGGAAGGCTTGGCCACAGGGACTACAGGGAGGGGCATTGGAAGCAATCAGTGAATAAATGTAGGCTTTGCTTCCTGGCTGTAAGGCCACAGTGAGTAGTGCTGTGGGGGAGAGGGAGTGGCAGCTGTTACCTTCCTCAGGTGTTGTGGACTCTGCAAGAGAGAGTCCTTCAGACGGTCCAGCTCTTCCTCATTCACTGAGGATGCAGGGACTTTAACTGGCTTCCCTAAAATCACAAACTAATGAGTGGTTAGGAATTTTAGTAACCTTTAGTTATCAAACATATCATCTGTAAGACTCATTCTTCACAAACCTTGTACAACGTATCCCAGCCTTTATAGGTTAGGGTCCATGTTTTGTTTTTATATTTTCCATTTAGGAAAATTCTAATCACTTTATCTTTTATTATATAAATCCTTATCTAAAACATTCTCATGCTCATCCTACCCTCCCCCTTTTCAACTATGATCTAGTTTATTCTGGAGCTACAGATGAGTGACCCTAACATGGGGACTAGGAGCTCGGTCTCCCATGCTTCATGTTCCAATGTGGAAGCCGTTTCATGGACTTTTACAGTAATAGAATGAAAAAGTTCTTTTTAACTTTTCTTACTAAAAGTTCTCTCATATTTACTACCTCCTTAACATTTTTCTTACCTACTTACTGTTTCTTCTTTAAATAAGAGCTGAATCCAAATTATAGATATGGCACAATGTAGCAAATTAAGATCTGTAATCTTGTATCTATCGTAAAATCTGTATTCTATTGATATCAAACTTCCCACCTCCAGGGGCGGGATCCTCACACAGAACTTGAGAATTAGAGAAGTCTTGCATCCCAACAAACACCTCCAGAGATGCCCGTGACCTTCAGCAGCCAGCACTCTTAGCTGAGAAGCTTGCTCACACACTAACCTTGTAACCGTAGTGTTGAGTACAGAAGATGTTTCTTGCCCTTGTTCTAGCAGTGGACACCTGGGAGGCTGGGTTTCTGTGGGTGCATCCTCACTTCTCCATCAGCCCATATGTAACACTCTCAGATTGGGTGGTCCACATATCCGTCATCCTGTATGTAACACCGTCAGATTGGGTGTTCTATGTATCCATCATCCTGTATGTAGCACTGTCAGATTGGGTACTCCACATGTCTAGCAGGAATCATCCGGGAAAGCCCTTTTGAGGCAGTCAATCGGGGTTCCCCATTAGGAGTCCCGGGCAGTGCAGAATGTCCTCAGGGACACTTCCAAGTGGAATAATAGATTGTACCAGGTGGAGATAACCTCACCAGATCGGCCCTCACAGCCCAGCAGGAGCTGACAGAGGAAGTGGAGGCAGTCAGCTGGAGTTTCCAGGGAGCTTTCCCTACATGACTAAGCTCTGCACAGCTGGATTTGTGGGCTCCTCCTTCCCACTGGAAGCTCATTTCTGTCCTGAGATAAGCAATGGTGACATCTATTAGAAATAGTTTTATTTCCAGTTCTTTTCAGGGAAATTTTTTGCTCTTGGGCTGGTTTGCTGTTCTTTTCTTCCTTGTCACAGTTAGTCAGGCCAGCCCATCCCTAGACAAGGGACGGATGGATACCTTGAGATAGACTTGCTGAATTGTGGAGGGCCAGTGTCTCAGCTCAGGCAGAAAGGACAGTTTACTAATGCAATGTGTATTACCTGTGCATTTTAAAATTTGCTTTTTCTTTATTTAGTACGTGGTATGTGTGAGTGTATATGGGTATGGCCTCCTGTGCTGGTGTGTGAGAGCCAGAGGTTGATGTGAGGATGTATTCCTCAATTACTTCTCCACCTTAGTTTTTTGAGGAAGGGTCTCCCACTGTTCTGGAAGCTTGCAGTTTTAGCTAGATTGGCTGGCCAGCAAGTTCCCAGGGTTTGCCTGCCTCCACCCCGACTGGGGTTCTAGGTTTAACTCTTTACTCAGAATTTCTGTTTTTCTTTTTTCTCTCTTGCAGTTGAAATGGATGCAGTCAGAACTAAATGTTGAAGAAGTGGTAAATGACAGGAGCTGGAAGGTAGGAAATAATGTTGGTTCTTGCAGAGAACTGAGCAAGCAAGGGGCAGCCAGGGGAGGAACAAAAAGTGCAGGAAACTGAGAACAAAGAACCAGCAATGCTAACTTCTGTGTGGGGGCACAGCGGCTTTACAAGCAGCCAGAGGGTTTTGTGATTCTGTGCATCTCCTAACACTAATTATGGGCATATAGAATATTCAGAGTTTTTATTGTAGTTAACTGAGAATTGTCAAACAAGTTATTTGTTATAATTAGCCTTTTATGCAGTTACTTTTTACAAAAGCAAAGTTGCTAACATTATTTTGCATTTGTGTCCGTTAATATTCATTGAGTTTCATTAAATGCAATTACATAGGGAACATTAAGTGGAAAGGAACCACTTAGATAAGTAAATTCCAGAGAAGCGAGAAGAGCCGAGCTGAGTTTCTCCACACTCCACACTCTAGCTGAGCTGAGCTTCTCCACACTCCACACCCTGGCCGAGCTGGACTTCTCCACACTCCACACTCTGGCCAAGCTGGACTTCTCCACACTCCATACTCTGGCCAAGCTGGACTTCTTCACACTCTGACCAGATCTCTCTGGACTTAGAGATCAGCTGCTGGGCACTGACTAACTTCTAGCATTTAGTAACTGTTCGTCTCTTCAGGAGTTTTTGTTTCAGAATTTTCACACACACACACACACACACACACACACATACACACACACAGATTAATCATTGAGCAGAGGTGATGTTCTGGTATATAACCTTCCAGCTCAGACTTGTTAACTGTTTCCAAAAGTCGTAAATGAAGTCACCTTCTACCTGTTAGTAGCCAACATTTCCTGTGTCATTAAATAATTACATCTATCTTTAAAAAAAAAGCACTCACAACATGTGAAGGCATGAATAAATCACAGACTATAAATTGACTGCTTTATGGCATTTCTTTATCTTACTTGCCAAAGTGTAGCCTATACTTGCCCTTGCATCTGCATTAGGGCTATGCTGCTTAAAAGATTTTGGCAGTGCTTGTCTATGCACACATTCTTTGTAAAGTAGTAAGTTTTTCTGGGGCTCTGATGGGAGAGGGGGATGGTGACTGTCTGGCTGTAGAGAGCCGGTCCAGAGAGTTTCGGTACACGTAATGTGTGGTAGGCGTGAAACCGTTTGGATGTGCAGTCACAGGTGCTCCTCAGCATGATGGGATTACAATCCCACTACACCTGAGTGTTCTCAGGACACTGAACAGCGGACTAAGGCACAGGGAGACAATACTCTGCTGTGTATTATTAGCCCACAGAAAAATCAAAATTTAGCCAGGCTAAAGCAGGACTGTGAGTTTGAGTCCAGGCCAAGATACATAGTAAGTTAAATACCAATATGAACTACAAAACAAGACCTCTTTCTCTTTTTAGCCCTGTTACTCCTGTGAATGGCTCTGCCAAGATTTTTATGTAGCATTGCCCCATTTAGTCAGAGAGCATTCTCTAACACTTAGGAAATGTTTCAGATTTTAGGAAGCAAGGTGACCCAAACAAGAAATACATAAATTCACATAATTTCACAGAAGGCATATCCAGCTAGCTAATGGGTGTTGAAATTGTCTAGTGAATGTTACCAGGGTGTACATGACGCTTAATTTGGTGTGCTAAAGAAATTTTGTGTTTCTGGGCCTGTTGACCTAGACCAGATGCTAGCATCCTCCTAACTTGTTGACAGGATAACTCAGTGACTTCTGTTTCTGTTTGAACATCTTAGGTGTTTAATGAACGCTGCCGAATTCACTTCAAGCCTCCAAAGAATGAGTAGAGAGAGGTTTTTTAAAAAGATCTGGTCATCTCATCAACTACGCATGACAGACGTCATCAGGGTGGGCTCCCGGGGATGGTCTCCGAGCCAGCAGGCCAATTCTCATAATTATAATAATCAATTACTATTTTATACTGATTCTGTACAAATGTTTTGTAACTATTAAAATAATTTTCTGACTCCGTGTACATACTTATTTGGTGGCTTTGCAAGTTGAGACAGTAAGTTCTCCATGTCATTTTGTCTGCTTGAGTTTTACAAATTTATTAGTATGGATATGAACCTTCTTCGTCATAGATGGAGTTTCTTTTTTGTTTGTCGTTGTGGGTTTATTTTAAAGGGGCAGAATCAGGCTGGAGAGGTGGTCAGAGGTTAAGAGCACTAACTGCTCTTTCAGAGGACAGTTTCCATCTCAGCACCCTCAAGGTACTCAGAACTCTATAACAGTCCCAGGGGAGCTGATGCCCTCTTCTGGCCTTTGTCGGCACCAGTCACACGTGATGTAGACATACGTGCAGGCAAAATACCCATGCTTACAAAAAAGTAAATAGAATGACAGAATTAGGCTGGATCCTACAAACAAACTCTCTGATTTTTTTTTTTTTTTTTAAAGCTGTGCATGGTGGCACGTGCCTGTAATCCTATCACTTGGGAGGCTAAGATGAGTATATCACAAGTTTGAAGCCATCCTGGGCCAAATAGTGAGAACCTGTCTCACAAAACAAAAACATGAATCAGGCTGTGTTGCTCCACACCTTTAATCCCAGGCAGAGGCAGGCGGATCTCTGAGTTCGAGGCCAGCCTGGTCTACAGAGCAAGCTCCAAAATAGCTAGGGTTACACAGAGAAACCCTGTCTCAAAAAACAAGACAATAAAAGAAGAACATTTATCTCGTATTTACATATAAAACTCTTGTGGGTTGTAATTGTCTTCTAGACAGTTGCATGGATACAAAAGGGAAGCATGCATTTTAGGACGGGGAAGGGTGAATGACTAAAACGAGACTGTTGTGGGTAGAGGGCTCCACAGTGAAGGAAAAGTGCTTGGTGGTCTGGGGTATTAGCTTCCTGGGGCCCCAGAACAGCCCATCACGGGTCAGCTGCCTATGCCAGACTATTCATGTTTGCTGTGTCACAGTGCAGACAGGTTGGACTGGACAGGGTTCTTTGCTCAGGGTGGGAAAGCTGAAATCCACCTAGAATGAGCCAGGCTTTTGTCTGAGTTCCCAAGGAACACTGCTTCTGAATGTATTGCGTTTGGGGGCAGAATTTAGTGAGTTGTAGAAGCAAAGTCCCTGTGTACTGGCTGGCTGTGTGGTACCACTCTACAGGAGGTTACCCCCACTTCTCAGCACGGGGCCTCTTCCATCCTTACACCAGCACTGGTGTGTTTACACTGGCGTAGTCTGACTTCCGTTCCTGCTGTGAGCCTGACAAGGGTTTGTAATTAGCTCCACCACAATGCTGCTTTTCTTTAACTCAGTCAGTGGGTTAATCTGCACATCACTTTTGCCACGTAATGTAGCAGTCAAGATGTGATTAGGACAGGACATAGAGCCTGACAAGGGTTTGTAATTAGCTCCACCACAATGCTGCTTTTCTTTAACTCAGTGGGTTAATCTGCACATCACTTTTGCCACGTAATGTAGCAGTCAAGATGTGATTAGGACAGGACATAGGCGGTGCCAGTTTAAATTCTGTTTACAGTCATGATTTAAAAATTAAAGCCACATGGCCCTGGCTTGTCTGGCTTCTGGGAGGCCTGAGCCTGCAGCATCTTGATCTTCAGATTGTGTTCCTGGACGTCAGCCAAGCAGGCGTAAGCGTTCCCTGTTTTGGTGATGCAGCTCTTTGGAACACTTACTGTGGGAGCTTGCTGGGGACACTGGAGGCCCAAAAAAACCATGAGCCTATTCCCATGTTGACCACAAAGGTTACTGTGTTTCTACCTCCCACAAGTTTCCACCTAGATTTAGACCCTAGGGTTCTGCTCTCTCAAGGTTATTGTCACTGGTAGCTAAGATCCAGACCTTGTATTTCAGGGATAAAGAAGTAGATTTGTTTCTACCTCAAACAAAAGTATAAAGACTCAGCTAAGGTTCCATTTCCCTTAAAGAGATAACATTGGATTCCACCCAGGGAGTGGTTTGCCTACAGAATAATGTGGTCTAGGCCGTGAGTGTGACTTGTCCTAACAATAGAATGTTTAACTATAGACGTAGCCTGCGACCTCCATCTAGTCTTTTCATATCCTTGTATCATGTTAATGCAGTTTTTAAAAATCTTACTCCTACCTCTTGGGGCCGGGGTATTATAAGCAATTGGAAATTAAACACAGGAGATTTCAGTATTCACTGGAACTTCTTCCCGATACTATTTTATGTTTTTGTGTCTTCGTATTCTTTACTAATATTTCTAAATCCCCACATGCCTACCCTGGCAAGTGGTATTTTTGTCAAGGCTGGTCCTATAGGACTGGGAGTGTCATTCAGAAGAAGACAGCTTACCTCATAGTACAAGACTCTAGATTTGATCCCCAGCGTGGTGGGGCAGGTAAGACAGACCTCACGGTGGTGCGCACCTTTTCAGGAGTCAGGGGCAGGCAGATCTCTGAGTTCAAGGTCATTCTGGTCTCCATAGTGAGTTCCAGAGCTACACAGACCCTGTCTGGCAATAAATTAATTTAAAATTACAATTGTCGCATAGCTTTTCCTTTTCTTTTTCTTTATTTATTTTGAGACAGGATTTCTCTGTGTAGCTTTGGAGTTTGTAGAGCCTGTCCTGGAACTCTGTAGACCAGTCTGGCCTCGAACTCACAGAAATCCGCCTGCCTCTGCCTCCCGAGTGCTGGGATTAAAGGTGTGCCCATCACTGCCCAACCCACATAGTTTTTTCAATGAGAAAAAAAATTTATTTTAAAAGACAATATTGAAAAATCTTTTTTATAAAGATCTGTAATAATTTTTAAATGGGGTGAGATAAAAGGCTGAATGTAAGACAGCAGCTAATTTAACTGCTGAATCTAAGACAGCAGTTAATCTAAGCAAATACCATTAATCCCAGCACTCAGGAGGCAGAGGCAGGTAGATCTCTGAGTCTGAGTCCAAGGCCAGCCTGGTCTACAGAGCTAGTTCCAGGACACAATGGTTACACTGAGAAACCCTTTCTCCAAAAACAAGCAAAAACAAAAATGCTGGATTTTAACGTACTGCAAGGGTCTTGATGGCATTCCTTGGGGACATTTAGATTCAGGCTAAGATCATCATGATCTTTCCAGACTTCAGATCTGCCACCAGCGGGCTTTCTACCTGATCTAATTGTGGTAGGCTGCCCAGATTAATCAACTGTGACATTAGCCAAGCGTTTACCTTTGTTTGGAGTGAATAAGTGAATAAACTGAGCCTGTGTCTGTAGCTCTCAAAGCCTCAGGTTGGAAGGTAAAATTCCTTTATCTCTTCAGAAAGTAGATTGACTTGCTGAAACTCTGGCGTACAATAACTGCCTCGCAACAATCTGCTTCTCTCTTTTTACCCGGGGGAGCAGAGAAGCAACATGCCAGCCTTCAGGATGGATTTGGCTTTTACTTGGCAGAAGGCAAGCAAGGGAAAAAGCGCTGTTGATGAAACTTGCAACTTCTGCTAACACTTTAGCGTCTTAGGAGTTCTAGGCACTATTAGCCAGAATTGTGACAAAGCAAAATGCCTGCTCTTGAAAAGCTTCCATTCATTGAAGGGAGATAGTTGAGACTAAGGAATTAAGCTGTAGATAATGGCAAAATGCAGTCAAGTTCTCTGTAATAAAGAAAAAAAGAAAGAAAGAAGGAAGGAAGGAAGGAAGGAAGGAAGGAAGGAAGGAGAGAGAGAGAGAGAGAGAGAGAGAGAGAGAGAGAGAGAGAGAAAGAAAGAAAGAAAGAAAGAAAGAAAGAAAGAAAGAAAGAAAGAAAGAAAGAAAGAGCAAGTGGAGTGTGGATTGCAAATAACCGTGCTGGTTGGAGAACACGATGTCCTTGTCTTTGAAAAGCTAACTTCATTAGATACTGAAACAGGGAGTACTGTAATGAAGGGCGTTCTGTTATTCTATGATATAAGTTGTACTTCAAAGCTGTTCGTTTGGAAGTGAAATTTGCAGCGATCCTCTTCCTCGGCCCCCTGAGTACTGGGCTTACAAGTGTGCATTACCACGTGCAGCCCACGCTTGCCTTTCAGGAGTAAGTTCGGTGGTGCCCTGAAGGTAACATTTAATGTTTTGTTTTGTGCGTGTTTCTCTGTGTTCATTGTTCGGATGTGTAGAGACCAGAGGTTGGCATCTAGTGTCTTCTTTACTCTCTCTCCCTCACTAAACCTGAAGCTAGACTGGCTGCCAGCGAGCCCCGGGGTCCTGCCTCCACACCCCCAGCTGGAGATCAAGCAGGTTTTCTTGTACAGCAAACACTTTCAGCTGATCCTCTTTCTAGCCCCTGAGACTTTAATTAGTACGGTTTTAGGATTTATCACTTTTACATTCCCTAGTTTATTGGTCTAACTATGTTATCTGTTTTTTTTTAATCAGATTCACTGTTATAGCAGTTTATAGTTATGTACAGCTAGGTAGAAATAAAGTTCGTTAGAATCTAAGAAAACTCTCTTCTTATTTTTCCTTCAACATTTTGTGAGAATTTTCAAGTAGTTGGGGGGTGGGGTTAAGCAGCCAGCTCCCAGAGGCACCGGCCAGCTGAGGGCAGGCCTCGGTGACTGTCTCATAATTCACTATAGAGATCAGGATGGCTAGTCCACTGGCACTCAGAAATAATTGCTACCAAATGAATTATTTTCACTCCAGCAAGCAAAGGCTGTCCCATGTAAAGCCCCTAAATGACTTCTCACTCCTGTAACAATAACTGCAGATTCCTTAAGGTGGTCTCTGAATGCCCCCCATCACCCCTCTGCATTTACCTCTGCTCCGAGCCAAGACCCAGAGTCACTTCAAATTTCTGAGCTTGCTCTCTCCCCTGCCTCTCGTCTCGGCCATCACTCCCTTCAGCCACGGCAACCTCCCAGGTTAGGTGTCCCTTTTGTGTTCCCACAATAGCACATCCATTGGGGGCTTTGCCAGGCTCTTAACTTGCTGGCTTTCCTCTTCAGTTTGTGAGGCCCATGCTCGTTCCCAGTTCTCAGAATGCGTGGAATATTGCTGGTCCCACA